CTCCAAAAACCTGCAGCTTGGTTTATTGACTCCAGTCCAGTCTGGCCCTAGTGTGTTTGTATGTGAGATAAGGACCTTAAAAATTCTAAGCTCCTTGAGGTCAGGGACTGATGGGAATGTACAGTGCTGCATAAATTGTCAGCAATATATGAATACCTGTAATAGATCAAATAATAAATACGAAGAAACGTGTTTTCTGTGCAAATGCAAGACATGTAAGGTCTCATGCACACTGGGCATTTTAAAAACGGAAGTAGCGTTAGCTGTATAAAGTCACGTTAAAATTGTGAGTTTTTCTGTGTTTTTTTAGCGTTTTTGCAGTAGTGTCTAGCTATGTCTTTTCTGTATTAGCGTTTTTTAGCACAAAACAAAATTTTGGCTCAAAAACACTAGTTTGCCACATTTTACTGCGTTTACCACTGTTAGAGCGTTTTTACAGCTAAAACACCCTCTTGAAACCCACTATTTCTGTGGGGGGGTTTTCAGTCAGAAAACATCCCTGGCAAAAAACATTGATTAAAGCCTGTGTGTGCATGGACACATAGGTTAACATGCTGGGGAGTTTACTGGCTGTAGAAAAAAGTCAGAAGCCAAATGCCGCAGCTGTAAAAAACGCCCAGTGTGCATGTGGCAAGTTAATAGAAATGCTCCATATACAGTAACAAATGCAATGTAGGTGTGTGTTAAATTTCATATATTTTTAATTTGCATTCTGTGGAAAGGTTTCATCTATACTATTCCATTGTGTTAAGGCACAAGTATCTGTGCATACAGTGCATGGCCATTCCATTTGACTTTCACATTATTGCGTACATACAGTGCACCACAGTACACACCTCAATGTACAACTGTGAGCACTTGTACTTGTATGGATTGTAATGCAATGGGGGTTATTTACTAAAACCTGAGCATGCAAAATCTGGTGCGGCTCTGCATAGAAACCAATTGGCTTCCAAATTCTATTGCCAAAGCTTAATTGAACATGCTGAATTTAGAAGCTGATTGGCTACCATGTACAGCTGCACCAGATTCTGAGTACTCCAGTTTTAGTAAATCTCTCCCAATGTGTTGGTAGAAATGGTGAAGGTGCATTTTTACCTGCATTGCAGTGCATGGACAGCCATTTTACAAACAAAAGCTGCCTTAATCCAGTACATGTTAATGCCCATGAGCAGGGGCGAACTGACAACTCATGGGGCCCCCCGGCAATAGGGGATCATGGGGCCCCTGTGTCCTTGCCCAAACTCAAAAAAGCCTATGAAAAAGGTACCAGGGGCATCTCATGGGGCCCCCTACTGACCCCGGGCCCTCGGGCAGTGCCCGAGTTTCCAAATGGTCAGTCCGCCCCTGCCCATGAGTAAATGTACTGCAACAATACATGTCCAACCATAAAGATAAAGCCTTACCAGCACAGTTTATATATCAAATCACAATTTATTTGAACCCCAATGTAATAACAGAACATAAAACTTCTCCTTAATAAAAACAAATTGGGACCTATTTTCAACCACTCTCCATCATCATGTAGTAATTGATCATATCTGAACCAGGAAAAATTCAACTTCCATGATGCAACATCATGTTGATGTGGTTGGATGGGCAGCTATACCATATTTTTTCAAGGGCATCAGAAAGCATATTGACTTTTTCACCTTTGCTATTAAAGTAAGTGCAAATAACAACTGGTGATATTTAGTCATTTCAATAGCACTTCAATTTAAATGAGAACAGAGTTCCTCTTTAAGTTGAAGTCACAGTAAAGGAAAAGCCGTGTTTTGCCTGTTTGCCTAAGGAAATTCTTCCAGCAGTCGAGAAAGAATGTGGATACTTGTGCTAATGATCCCAAATCTGTTAATGTGGTTTCTCCAGTTAAATTGATTCATGAATTTTGAAGAGAACATTACCTAATGAATTTTCTTTGAATAGAAAGCAATTAAAAGGACAAATCAGACTGATTAACCCCACCATCAACCCACCGCCACAGTACGGCACAGGGTTTGAAATTCTATCATAGGGAAAAACTAGAGCAGATTTGCTATCTTTTTGCCCTCTGCTAATCCATGTAAATTAATGAACAAAAAAGTTAATTTCTTTGGTGACCTTCGTCTGGTATCACCTGGATTATGCTTATGTTTAATTTGCTTAATGTTATAATATTAAAAGACTAAACATATTTTTCTCCCTAACAAAGTGATTATCATTCCCTGCAGTCTCAAGTCATTTTTGCACTCACTTAACCCATATGAAAGTGCACTCTTCCCTTCCGGCAAACTTCTGTAACTTTGAAAGTATGAGAGTTCAATGACTATTTTGTATATGGATTCAAATACATATGTGTCGTTTGGGGGTGTCTGCGTGCTTGTATGTACATATATATATATATATATATATATATATATACACACACACAACAGTATATGTGTGTGTGTATATATATATGTGTGTGCGTATGAATGTATGTGTGTATATACAGTTGCAAGAAAAAGTATGTGAACCCCTTGGGATTACGTAGAGTTTTGCATGAACAGGGCATAAAATGTGCTCTGAACGTCATCTAAGTCACAACAATAGAAGAACACAGTCTGCTGAATATAATACTACACAAACATTAGATGTTGCCATGGTTTAATTGCACATAACATATAAACATTCACAGTGCAGGGAGGAAAAAGTATGTGAACCTTTGGACTTAATAACTGGTTGACCCTCCTTTGGCAGCAATAACCTCAAACAAACGTTTCCTGTAGTTGCAGATCAGACCTGCACAACGATCTGGAGTAATTTTGGACCACTCTTCTTCACAAAACTGTTTCAGTGTAGCAATATTCTTGGGATGTCTGGTGTGAATCGCTCTCTTAAGGTCATGCCACAGCATTTCAATTGGGTTGAGGTCAGGACTCTGACTGGGCCACTCCAGAAAGCGTATTCTGTGCTGTTGCAGCCATTGTTTTGTTGAATTACTTGTATGCTTTGGGTCATTGTCCTGTTGCATCACCCATCCTCTGCGGAGCTTCAGTTGGCAGACAGATGGTCGTACATTTTCCTGAAAAATGTCTTGATAAACTCAGGAATTCATTTTCCCATCAATGACAACAATCCGTCCAGGCCCTGAGGCAGCAAAGCAGCCCCAAACCATGATGCTCCCTCGCCATGTTTTACAGTGGGGATGAGGTTTTGATGTTGGTGTGCTGTGCCTTTTTTTCTCCACACATAGTGTTGTGTGTTCTTCCCAAACAACTCAATCTTGGTTTCATCTGTCCACAGTATATTTTGCCAGTAGTGCTGTGGAACATCCAGCTGCTCTTTTGCAAACTTCAAACGTGCTGCAATATTCTTTTTGGACAGCAATGGCTTCCTCCGTGGTATCCTCCCATGTACTCCATTCTTGTTTAATGTTTTCCTTATTGTAGATGTGTCAACAAAAATGTTAGCATGTGCCAGAGATTTCTGTAGGTCTTTAGCTGACACTCTGGGATTCTTCTTTACCTCATGCAGCATTCTGCGCTGTGCTCTTGCAGTCATTTTTACAGGGACGACCACGCCTAGGGAGAGTAGCAACAGTGCTAAACTTTCTCCATTTGTAGACAGTCTGTCTTACTGTGGACACATGAACATCAAGGCTTTTGGAGATACTTTTGTATCCCTTTCCAGCTTCATGCAAGTCAACAATTCTTGATCGTAGGTCTTCTGAGAGCTCTTTTCTGCGAGGCATGGTTCACATCAGACAGTGCTTCTTGAAACCAGTAAACCCAAAACAGGTGTGTGTTTTTTAAGGGCAGGACAGCTGTCAGCAACACATCCAATATCATCACACTGATTGGAGTCAAGGTTGGCTCACTCCTGGCTCCAATTAGCTCTGGGAGAAGTCATTAAGCTGGGGCCTCACATACTTTTTCCTCCCTGCACTGTGAATGTTTATATGTTATGTGCAATTAAACGGTTGCAAAATCTAATGTTTGTGTAGTATTATGTTCAGCAGACTGTGTTCTTCTATTGTTGTGACTTAGATGACGTTCAGAGCACATTTTATGCCCAATTCATGCAAAACTCCACGTAATCCCAAGGGGTTCACATACTTTTTCTTGCAACTGTATATATAAAAAATGTGTGTGTGTCTTTAAAGTTGGTGATCCTTTTCTTAGGTGCACGTATCCATTACTTGTTAGACCCCCTCAAAGTAAGCAGAGAGTAAACCCTAAATAGATAACATTTAGTTTGCTAAAGTACTGTGCATCATAAACAATTGCCCCTTTTTTTAATTAATTTTTTGCACTTCATTTTTGGTCTCAGTACTGCTAATTTCCTTCAGCCTCCTCGAACCACTTCCTGTCTACATGCACTCCCACCAGTGTCAGCTACCAGTCTCTCAGGACTTTACTTATAGTTACAACGGTGGACCATGCAAGCAAAATGTCGGTCAACAAGGTCGCTTTTAGTTTGTTCCAGGGGTGCATTTAACAGGATGACACTGCAGCAGCACAGCTGACACCCTATGATGGGAAGTGCCTGAATTAGGCAGGATCACCAGGTAATGTTTTAAAGTAGAACTAAATTCAGAACGATTTCTTTCATTTTTGATAGTGTAAGGGAGGCTTCTAACCTCTGTAAAGTTTATTTTTACTATCTGTGTCTCATTGGGCAGATTTTCCTTCACTTCCTGTCCCATAGCCAAAACAGGAAGTGAGAGAAAATCCCTCTAGCGTTAAGGAATCCCTAGATGTCAGCAGAATGAGTGTCCCCATTGTAAAATATCCCCTTTATTCCTATTTCAGGGACAACGCAAAATTTGGGATTTTCTTTTACCTTCACTTTCATTGATAATGATAAACAGAACAAATGGAGAGGGGTGAATCTCCCCAACGGAGCACAGACATCATTAACCACCTCCTGCCCACCATATAGTCCAATGACGGGCGCAAGGTGGTTCTCTCGTTCTGATCTTTCAACGGCCTTCCATTCTCACTGCGCATGCTCGACTCAGGGAGCGCGCGGCGATCAGCGGTGCTCTGTGTCCCTCGGACACAGCGGATCACCGATCACGGAAAGAGCCGAAGATGTCGGCTTGGTCATGTGATCAGCTGTATCCAATCACAGCTGATCACATGTAAACAGGGAAATGCCGGTTATCGACATTTCTCTCCTCTCGAGCTGTCACGCTGACTGCTCGAGAGGAGAGGAGAGCCGGTAATCGGCATTCAGCGGAGGGGACATGTACACTGATCATCAGGGCACTGATGATCAGTGTGGCCCCAGAAGTGCCACCTGTCAGTGTCCATCAGTGCCAGCTGTCAGTGCTGAACAGTGCCACGTGCCAGTGCCCATCAGTGCCACATCAATGCCACATATCAGTACCTACCAGTGCACATCAATGCCACATATCAGTGCCCATCTGAGCTGCCCTTCAGTGTCACCCATCAGTGCCAGTCAGTGCCACCTATCAGTGCCAGCCAGTGCCGCCTATCAGTGCCAGTCAGTGCCGCCTATCAGTGCGCGTCAGTGCCACCTAACCCTGCTAGTCAGTGCCACCTAACAGTGCCAGTCAGTGCAACCTAACAGTGCCAGTCAGTGCCGCCTATCAGTGCCATATATCAGTGCTGCCTTTCAGTGCCAATCAGTGATGCCTGTCAATGCCCATCAGTGCCACCTACCAGTGCCTCCCTATCAGTGTCCATCAGTGCATCTTATCAGTGCCCATCACTACAGCCTCATTAGCGCACATCAGTGAAGGAGAAAAATCACTTATTTACAAACTTTTATAACAAAAACTAAGAAAAAACATTTTTTTTTCAAAATTTTCAGTGGCTTTTGGTTTGTTTAAGAAAAAATAAAAAAAACCCAGAGGTGATTACCACCAAAATAAAGCTCTATCTGTCACAAAAAAATGATAAAATTTCATATGGGTACAGTGTTGCATGACCGCGCAATTGTCATTCAAAGTGTGACAGTGCAGAGAGCTGGAAATTGGCCTGGATAGGAAGGGGGTATAAGTGCCCTGTAGGTAAGCAGTTAAAATCCTGACAATGTTCTAATCCCTCTCCACTCTATCCAAAACGAAGAAAAAAAGGTTTTTCCTTTTGTCACACTATTGAAAGATTTAAATGTAGATTTGAAGAGACTAAATCAATTTTGAAATTATAGTAACATCAAATAAAATATGTTGCACATTGTATGCATTATGCATCATATGAAATTTTATTTGTGTGTTAAAAGAGAAGTATAGCCAAAGCTTTTTTTGGCTGTACATTTCCTATCGATTGCCGAAGTACAGTTTTCTCTGAACTCTTGTGACACGTTTTTCATGTCACTCAGCTGATCCAGGGATGGGAATATGATAACCGAAAAAACACAACCCATTTCCTTCAGAGTTCTATGGTCACAACATTCACTTTCATTTTATTACAGCAAAACGTCGTAACAAGCAATACATAATAGTTCAATTTGGCAATCCAGTGTAAATTTACTTAAAAATCTCCTTTTATATTGTGAGTTCTGCCTGTCTGCTGGCTATCTCTTTCCACAACTTGCTGGATTCCCTACATTCTTTGCACCTTCTCTTCTGCTGTTTACTTTCAATTTCCAAGGACCACCATATCCCATGGTACCCTGCTATATGCAAGCAGTGATTCCTGTACTGACTCTGCCTCCTGAAATTCCTCCTCTCAGCACCTCCATAGCCTTTGAATTGTGTTACACAGCAGTGCCTATGTACAGGACATAGTAAATATGTGTCACTGAACTGAAGGAAGGAAGTTGATGTGTGGGGATCTTCTCAAACTTTAAAGTGGTTCTAAAGGCTGAAGTTTTTTTTTTTTTTTTTTTTTTACCTTAAAGCAGAGTTCCACCCAAAAGGGGAAGTTCAGCCTTAAGGCTTTGTCTCCCGCTCCCCATTAAGGATTGGCACCTTTGGGGGAGTGTGTATCCAAATCTGACAGGTACCCGCTCCCAGGTCCACTGCGATTGCCTAGGAAGTGGAAGTTGTCCTCCCTCCCCATAGTCTTCTGGGACACGTGACATGTCCCAGAAAACTACAGGACCATTTACAAAACGCAGTGCTTCTCGCGCATGCACAGTGGGCACCCAGCTGTGAAGCTGCAAGCTATATTGCCAAAAGTATTGGGACGCCTGCCTTTACACGCACATGAACTTTAATGGACTCCCAGTCTTAGTCCATAGGGTTCAGTATTGAGTTGGCCCACCCTTTGCAGCTATAACAGCTTCATCTCTTCTGGGAAGGCCGTCCACAAGGTTTAGGAGTGTGTCTATGGGAAGGTTTGACCATTCTTCCAGAAGCGCATTTGTGAGTTCAGGCACTGATGTCGAACAAGAAGGCCTGGCTTGCAGTCTCTACTCTAATTCATCCCAGAGGAGTTCTATCCGGTTGAGGACAGGCCAGTCAAGTTCCTCCACCCCAAACTCGCTCATCCATATCTTTATGGACCTTGCTTTGTGCACTAGTGCGCAGTCATGTTGGAACAGGAAGGGGCCATCCCCAAACTGTTTCCACAAAGTTGGGAGCATGAAATTGTCAAAAATATCTTAGTATGCTGATGCCTTAAGAGTTCCCTTCACTGGAACTAAGAGGCCAAGCCCAACCCCTGATAAACAACCCCACACCATTACCCCCCTTTCACACTTGGCACAATTTAGTCACGCAAGTACCATTCTCCTGGCAACCGCCAAACCCAGACACGTCCATCTGGGTTCACAGGCTTGGATACAGCTGCTCGGACATGGAAACCCATTCCATTAAGCTCTCTACACGCTGTTGTTGTGCTAATATGAAGGCCACATGAAGTTTGGAGGTCTTTAGCTATTGACTTGTCGACTTTGCAGCGTGCTCTTCAGCATGCGCTGACCCCGCTCTGTCATTTTACGTGGCCTACCACTTCATGGCTGAGTTGCTGTTGTTCCCAGTTGCTTCCACTTTGTTATAATACCTCTAACAGTTGACAGTGGAATATTTAGTAGTAAGGAAATGTCACAGATGGACTTATTGCACAGGTGGTAACCTATCACGGTACCACGCTTGAATTCACTGAGCTCCTAAAAGTGTCCCATTCTTTCACAAATGTTTGTAGAAGCAGTCTGCATGCCTAGGAGTTTGATTTTATACACATGTGGCCATGGAGGTTATTGAAACACCTGAATCCAATGACTTGGAGGGGTGTCCCAATACTTTTGGCAATATAGTGTATGTTGCCTCCTCACCACCTGTAAAACACACTCAGTTCAATTTTCAGAGGAGCAGCAGTGCCTGCTACACTTTTGAATAAGCCCTTAGTTGCATTGGGCAGCAGCACCCTTAGGGCTCATTCACATGTAAAGTTGTGGGGTAGTAAAACTCAGTGATTCGATCACAATTTTACCACCCCCAATCCCTACCCCCTTTAGCTGCTTAGGCAGCAGTCAACGGTGTACACATTGAAATATGGGGATATATTCCCAACACAGGGTGGTTACTGCGGGGATATGGACAACGCTCCAAAGTGCCACGTCCTTTTCAAACTATTTTGGAAGAGAGAGACCCTTTGTGGACTTTATAGGCACTACAACAATTATAAATAAAAGTATTACTTTATTAGACATACATAAACATACAACAATACATACAATTAAGCGAATGTAGCGAATTTTATTAATTGTATGTATTATTGTACGTTTATGTAGCATACAATAGTATATACTCAGTACAGATACATGTTATGTTAACAGGTTCCACAATGAAGGCATACCGTATCTCGGCAAAGATTTAAGAGAGGGTGCTCTAGTAATGGTAGATATAGTAGCTTACCTTCATTGTGGAACCTGTTAACATTACATGTATCTGTGCTGAGTATATACTATTGTATGTTACAGGAGTAACACACTCTGTAGTGAATTTTATTAATTGTATGTTTTATTGTACGTTTATGTATGTCTAGCAAAGTAATACTTTTAGTTATTATTGTTGTAGTGCCTATAAAGTCCACAAAGGGTCTCTCTCTTCCAAAAAAGGTGTATACATGCTGCAGCAGACATTAAACCCCTTGTTGCTTTTGGTGGGTGCCACCACCTGCCAATCATGGCCTCATTCACTTGAATGGGTCATGCTTGGCAGGTGCTACACAACCGACCATGATAGGGTGTATAATTCCTTTTGCGGCTGTGACGTGTGCACCCCTGGCCCCTGCAGATAAAGGGGCTGCGGTTGTGGCGGGGGTGGTAAAAATAAACTTTAACTATGGGGTTTTACCACCCCCAAACTGCAAATGCAAATTAACCCTTACTGCTCTGAGCACCCAATAAGGCTGCTTTCACACTGATGTGCTGTGGTTTACCTGCTCCTGGGACAGGAGCCAGCACTACAGAGGAGGCATTGGCTTCTGCGGCTCTTGCTCCCTACTACAGCTCCAACTTTACAAGTACCGTAGTTCCTCTGCATGGCACTCTGATACTCTGGCGGGTCAAAAAACCCAGACAGTGATCTACCAGTCACCTGGCTGTGATCTACTGGTTGCTGACCCCTGACCTAGGATAACCTAAAAAAAAAACAAAAGCAAAAATTGTTTACCTTTATCAGATGCTTTTTTTATGGACCCTTTAGCAAGGAAACATTCTAGGTACTTTTCTTTGTTTATGAGATTGCTGGGTACCTGTGTAGTTAACCCTATCTGTACTGTGCAAGCAGGTCTTCTATAACAATTGTAACTAGTTTTGAACACTGTCTGTCCTAACAAATGGTTAAAGGTGTAGAGGCTGGTTTTCCTGCATTATATGTTAATGAGGACAGACTTGGGACAGGCTCACTTTGACATCCATGCAGTCAGCCATGACAACTTCTCCTGAGAAACATCTGAAGGGTAAGAAATATTTTTTTAAAAAAATTTGATGGCAAAAGTGGAAATACGCTTTAAGTGTTGTGGGCAGAGTTAGGTGTGACCATTCATTGATAGGGCTGTCATATGTGCCAACATGTAAGCAGCTATAGCACCAGCAATGGTGACAATGATTTAATTACCGAAGGAAGAGTATTGTCATCGTATCAAGGAAAGTGCTGATTGAAGCTAGGTTCACACTCATGCGGTGCGGTACATCACATGTGATTCGCACAGGAACCGCAAGGCATTCTTGTACAAATCACATGCAAATTGTGTGCGGTGCAATTTGAGACATACATTATGTATGGCTCAAGTCGCACCGCATCCACACCAAAAAGGTGCAGGACCCTTTTTTGGGTCCGCACTAAAATCGGATTGCATGGGTATTCACACCTATGCAATCCAATTCTGCACATCGCACCGCGTTTTGCGGACCGATTTCGGGGTGTTGTTAACTTAACATACACACCCGCAGCGGTTCGCATAAACGGGGTGCGATTCTGATGCGGTGTGGAATTCGCACAGAAAACGCTGCCAATTCCAGACCGCATCAGTGTGAACCCAGGCTCAATTTTTATACTATCAGCAGGTAAGAGGCATTTACAAAAGGTGTTAGAGGGTAAGTTTTAGGCTCCATGTACACGAGCATACCCTGATCGCCGGCCACGGGAAAATGCAAAACCGCTGAAAAATCGTGGTACAGCAGTTGTGGCATTTTGCCGCGATTTGCGTTTTCC